GGGGGGGGGGATTTTTTTTAATTAGGGAACTTGACGGTCGAGTGATCAGACATTGTAATCTTTTTAAAACATCACAAAAACAGACCTCCTAACATGAAAAGAAAGACCTACAAAAACTTAGGGTGTTGGTCTTATGTTGAGGCAAACACAGCAAGTAAAGACCCACAGGTGGTATTATTAGTCTCCACAGATTCTATTGGAGTGGAACTAGGGACAAACATCAGTGGGTGGTAAAGCATAGAAAGTAAGGCGTTTATGGGTCTTTCTATGATAACTGGAGTATTATTAAGCCATGTAAATGAAATAAAACAAATGTACGTGTTTTACATGGTCAGGAAGACTAGAAAACTGCTATATATATACCGTAAATGTGGTTCATTTAGACAACTTTTTATTAACTGTTTTCCTGAAATCATCTTTTTGTGATGAGTAACGTTGGTTTTTATCATCCATACATTATAATATTCTGGGCATACAGTATGTGACATTACGCAGCATTTATTTACCAATGTAAACAGATGAAGGGACTGAAAATAGGTCAACAATAATGAGATCCATGGAAGGCCTGTTTGTGATTGATAAGTTTGACATACTGGTATGTATCTATACTCAAATTTGTTGAATAAAAATACACAGATAAAAAAGAAAATGTTGAAATGGTAAATTTACCGCTAAAGCTCAGCAAAAGCCCTGTGCGTTCGAATGCTGAGCTCTGTTTTTATGGCTCTTCTCCACTCTGCTTAATCCTCAGTATTGAACAGTTTAAACTCCATATCTCTTTTCTTTGTGTTTAGCAAAAGACTCGTTCTTATATTTCCATCTAAACATCTCCCAGATTCTATTCTCATCTGATTCCACCTTATTTGTTAACCTACACCAACTACAGCCGACCTAATGTACATCAGTTATACGCCTCAACTTTCTGCTTGGGTTTTGACCTATTCATGCTTTATTTACAAACCACATACCCACATTTCAGAGTTGCATGTATCTAGGAAACTACTGAAGTAAACTCTTTCAAGCTGCATCGTTTGATACAGTTCGCAATATATTTTATTTTACAGTTTGCAACGAGTTTCTTTTGATGTTAACAAACAAATATGTGTGGAAATAGAAAGTGAGAAGGTACTTCTGGCAGGCTGACTATCAAGTGAACTCTATTCATTCAGGGTTTACCACGTAGACAGTCACTGCAGTCTACGCCAGCTGACTTTGGCCTTGAGGTGGAGTACACCTTGGACACGTCACCTGGCTAATGCTGAGACAATCATTCATTTACTCATGGAATAAAACAAGATAAAAATCACAATTTTCCATAGAGACTGGGACATGGAAACTCGACAAACAAAGACAGGAATTATCCGGCTGGTTCAAACGCAGAACCTTTTTTGCAATTCTCAGCGAAAGCCCTAATATCAGTTTCATCAGTCCAGTGATTGTGGTAGAAATCTGTTTTAGATCAAAATAAACTGTTCTGATAACCGATTCATGGGTGTCTTTTTAAATAAAGTAATACTACAACACATGTCTTTTTGTCAAATATTTTGTTTGTTTTTGAAACTGGTTCAAAGCAAGCTGACTGTTTGACATTATTCCATGCAAAATTTAACAAGTTTCATAGAAAAAAGGTCCAAAAAAAAGCAAACTGAAAGATGCATACACGAGTGTAAATTAGATTAGAAGATTTAAGTATGACAAATGTGGTTTACAGCTGCAAAATAAGGAGAGGAACTGAAGCAGTAGATTTGAGAAGTTGTTGGTTCACAGAGAGAAAGAAAAAAAATATCAGCATGTTACTATTTTTGTTGCACAGAACATTATCTGCGTGATAAATTAAAACAGCAAAGCAAGGAATTTCTCAAGTGTTTAAAAGAAAAACTCCTCCAGGTGAAACAATCAAGGGCAGTCCCTCCCAGACTGTGCTGACCTGCTCTGCAGCAGTGAACCTTCCCCACATGCAGATGCTCTCTGCCTGAACGCTGTTCTCCTATGAGCTGGCCAGAGGCAACACCCAACGCTAACGTGCCAGGGGAGGATTTCCAGAGACTCAGTAAGAGCTAAATAAACCAAACTCTGCCCCTGGGAGAGCAGTAACACTGGTAAACACTGGTCTGTGGCCTGGCCACAAAGCCGAGTCCTTGTTTTTACTTAATGATGATGGCAATGGGTTTCTGCACTGCTGCTTGTTACACTCAGACTCATCACTATGCTATTGCACGTGCATGTGTTTGTGAAACTATGCCTGAATATTTATGTCAAAAAGAGATTTCTTCTGGGACTAGACTGGTATAATTTCACTTTTAAGAAGCTGATAAATCTATAAAAAAACAGTTTAGATACAAGTAGGAAATATATACTAAAATATACAGCTGTTTAGCTGCTCCAAATGACTAGATTAAAAAAAACATTTCAATGCACAATGTGTCAATGCACAGCTATAAAGCTGATCTACATTTCCAGAGGCATAGTCTGAACTAGAGGAGTCCCTGCTGGTGACCGAAGACATGAGAGCAAAAAAAAAGAAAACAAAAGAAATCGTTCAATAAGATCCACTGTTTTGAACACAAAAATCTGTGTTTGTCAAAGAAAGACAATTCTGAATGTAAAGATAAAGAAGGAATAATACACGAGGCTGGCCTATTTGATTTATAATAATAGCAAAATATGAAACATTAAAGTAAGTTTATTTGGATATATAAACCTAGGTTTTGGTCATTTCTAGAAATCACTTTACAGAAAAAAAGAGCAAAATCAAAGTATGATAGTTCATAAAATCACATCACGAATCCTGCATAAAAATATCGTAACTGCAAACCATTATGTCTACTTTTCAGTTGTCTATATATCATGACACATGTCTAATAAGGCCAAATGTAATGTATGACAGACAACGTATGATAATTGTGTATGTCAAGTGCACTACTTAGAGACGATTTATTTAGTTGAAAAAACAAAAGTTATCAAATGGTTTGAATTATGTATGAATTGTAGCAGATCAGAGACAAATAGGAGCTATGTAGAAAGATTTTAAAAAATTTAAAAACACATACCCATCGTTAGAGCAGGTCATAAACTCCTCTTTAATCTTGGGGTGCCAGCACCCACAGTTCAACATAGCTGTGTGTCCCTGTAATGAGAGCAAAGTGACCATGAAGAAAACTTGACATTTTAAACACTAGTTTCCATCGACTTTGATGAGCTGCACACTGATGAATCACGACCTTGTTCCAGTTCCAGTCCAATACACTAAAAACTGTTTTCAAACTCTTGGTATTTAGACAAGCCACATAGTTCATTGTCAGGAAATAAGACAGGAGATTTTTAATTGTCATTATGATGCCAGAACACAACACAATTGATGTGGTTCCCTCTATCATAAAAAATAAATAAATAACAGTAAAAAGCATAAAAAATTAATGAAGTTTCAAAATGAAAAATTTTAATTTGTAAACTAAAAAAGAATAAATGCTGCCAAGACCAGCTGATCTCTATTGCAGTCCTACAGGACGCAAATATAAATCCAGTGATAAGGCAGCTGTTGTTCATCAGTTATCTGTTGTTTTTCAGTTTGTTGCACACCTAATTACCTCCACAAAACGGTTTTCAGTTATTTCTTTGAAAGTGCTTTTTATACACACCATTTAGTTATGTCACATCTGGGTGCAAGAGAAAGGGGTTTCCCTTGAGAAAAGGGCCGTTCGCTTGATCCTACTGTAACACCAACCTTCCTCAGCATAGAACTCAGCTGTGTCTCAATTCATGGGTTCCAACCGATGTTGGCTGCAGTTGACATGGGCCGTAGGCTGCATAAACAGATGAGAAATGAGAATATCTAATCTACAAAAGACGTATGTTTGCATGACCATGCACACTCTGTGTAGGATACTCAGACGCAGCCAACATTTTCTGGGTTTTGTCGGCTTTTTCGATCGTATGAGTAGGCGTCTATGAATTGGGACAGCGGCGCGGGGCTGTGACGTAAGCGGCCGACAAATAAGGCCGACGTCAGCTGCAACCCATGAATTGAGACACAGCCCTCGTCTTCAAACTGAACCATTGAACTCTGAAGCCGTGCCGCCCGCTGCGCCACAGCTTTAAATAGAGTCCCTCGCAGAGTAACTTCTAGCTATTTCCTCTGCTTGAAGAGTCCTGTGGAGAATTACTCAGAAGAAATTACTTTAAAGGGAAAAACCCAGAGAGAGGCCTCTATGACTGCGGGGTCAAAGAGGAACACCGGTGCGCTGCACTTATGACACACAGCTATTAGATCGCATGGAGAGCAGAGCTGTGCTGGAGCAGCAGCTGACTGAACGACATCGGTATGTGTGGATCAGGAACAGGGCCTGCATGTTCACTGTCAAAATACTTTAAACACAACACTTTAATGACCAATTAAGTGAAACCGCCTATGCCTTGATGTTTTACGGCTGAAAAAAGTATTACAAATTGCTGAGCTTTAAAATTTTATGGTAAAATACTTAAGAAAAAGCAATATGGACGCTCTGTGTGGTTCAACTACTACTCTGCTCTGTAATAACACCAAAACAAGCAATTATTCATTACAAGAGCTTCACAATTAGGCTGAATGAGCCAAATCCAATTCCTCTTCCTCAACAGTTTGGGACAACAAACTGACAATGACTTAAAAGAAGCAGGTTGACATTGATACCATCAGTAAACAGTGTAATGACAGAGAAGAAAAACAACTGATATATCTATTCAGGGACAACACCAGCATATCCATGTTTGTTATTGTAGCAGTTGCTACCAGCATACCTTTTTTTTACTTAATATAGTATAGTAACTAAGCACATTTACTTTGTTACAGTACTTAAGTAATTTTTTTGAGGACTGGTAATACCAAGTATTTTTTAATTGTAACCTTTACTTTTATTTCATTACATTAGAAGCATAAAATATACTGTTACTTCTTTACTTTAAAACTTAACACATTACAAATTAAAATAGGATCAGAAATCATCATGAAACGAGTTGTTTATTATCTCTAAAAACATGTTGAATTTAGTTAACCAAGTAATGCAAACTGGTTCCACTAAACTGGAACCAGTTTGGTTAAGTAAATTGACACTTCACTTCTTAGAGTGTGTGCAAAAGTACTTTTACCTTTCTGTTTATTGTGAGAAATTTTATGACTTTTACATAAGTTTTCTTCTCAGTGCAATTCATTTTTTTACCAAAGTCATTTTCTGTTAAGGTAATTGTACTTTTACTTAATTATTTCTTTCAAGCACTTTATACACCTCTGTTAATTGTTTTATGGATGATGGGGGGCTATAGCACTCAGTCCGGCTGTCTACTAATCTTGAAGTTGCTGATTTGTCTCCAGGTTACGTCAGGAAGGGCATCTGGAGTAAAATAATTTCCAAATGTTTCCTGCGAGTTTGCTCGCTGTGGGGACCACCGCAGAATGGAGCAGCCGAAAGAACAATAACACAAGTTAAATTTAATAATAATTCTAACCCTGAAGTGACAGTATTTGAGGCTCATTCCCAACACCAACCGTGAGCACTTACAGATTATTGTTTAAATCTTCTGCATACAAGGCAAAGGGCAATATGCATTTGTTTGGAATGCTGGTTTAATTGTCTTTCGATTTTAAGTGATGTTTGAACAAAACAGTGCAAAGAATGTGATATAAAATGAATATGTTAATGGTTTTTTATCTGTATTATCCCAATGTTTCAAATAAAGCTATTATTAGGAGCAAACTCTCCTGTCATTCTGCTACATGTAATTCAGTGAGTCCCCAAACATTCAGTGAACATGAGGAATAAATCAGAATAGCTGTATATCAACATGATTTATTTATCACACGAGACACAGGTAATCGACTGGGACACAGTCAGCAGGCCAAAACACATTCTCAATGAACCTGACTCCCCCATCAACTCCAGATGGGACTGAGTAGGATAAGAAGGTAGTACAGGACATTCAGGAAACCCCTTGTTGAAATCAATGGACCTTCACTTCAAGCACTTCATGTGGTCGGTATAAACATGTCAGAATGTGCTGCAGCTGGCACACATGGTCACTGACCACCAATACTGGCTGTCTTAAACACTAACACTAAAACCCAAACATCAAGTTCTAATTAGGACCCTTCTTTGTAGATTCAGGTGTAGGAATCACAACAACCCTAAACGCAAAAAGTGGAGTTCCTTTTTCCCCCTTCCTCTGCCCGATCACAAAGCATAAACCTTTATGCTCGCATCATAAAACAGAGCAGGTGCATCCTGTAACTACCAAACACTGGCATGGTGTCCTCCGGGAGCAAAACATATTATCATCCAGTCTGCTTCAGCCAAACACTCAGCATCTTCTTCAAGATTAAGTACAAATGTAAAGGTTTAAAGTCATTTGTATGCAGATAATTACACCATCAAAGGGCTCCATTATATTATATATCCTTTTTTAAACAAAGCATGTACTTGTATGTTTCCATTTTTCATTGCAATACTTGGAAAATGCGAATTGTTGCTGCTTTCCAAAATATAGCTGGTGAGCACAAAACCACTGACATTTTTAAGGTTTATTCCAAATCATTACAAAACAAGTCGTAGCTTTTATAGTTTGAGCCGTCATGGAAAAGTTATTTTACTAGGAATGTACTGTAAATAATTGCTCAAATCTGAAACTATTGCAATCAGAATCCAAAATGAATACCTGCCAAGGCATATTATGAGCTGGAAGAGTTTTTGGAACACACAAAAATAAACTATCATTTTTTTCAGTTTACCTGATTTACTTTCATGCATCATTAGCATTAATATAATAAATAACTAGATTAAATTGGGAGCTTTGGCACAGAATAAATTTTAAAAAATCGTGTTTCTTTTTCATACCTTGGTGTTGGCCATATCCACGATGTACTGGTCGCCCTTCACACACTCTATGACATTGAAGCCATCACGGTCCAACACTTTGGCCTGTGCATTGCCAGAAACCACCAGGATGACGTCGCCAGTAACACTGTACTGCAGAGACTTGATCTGATGGCTGACGAACACACACACACACACAACACAAGCAAAATGTTTCAGCTAGCACTCCAGTGATGATACATTTTGTTTTCAAGCTATAATCAGAAAAGGTTCTGTGTCAAAACAGTTAGTTTTCAGGTTTTGAAATGGATCATACAAGAAAATATCAAAGCATGACACATGTATTTTTATGGACAGCTGAAAATTTGAGGTAAGATCTATGGCAAATCTTAGATGTGCACCAAGAAACATAAAATAACAGAAGAACATTTTAAAGTTGTGAAAATTTATCTTTGAAACATAAATGTATAAATCACATGAATCCAGACTGAAAATGCATAAAACCTTATGAAGAAAAGTAAAAGCTTGTGTATTATTTAGTTCATATTTTGAATTTTATGTTTTTAATATAAACAGTGTAATACTTTTTTTATTTTAACAAGTTGAGCTTATAAATCTACAATGGTTTTAAAAGAGTAATGAAGAGAAGTACCTAAAACAAAAGATTTTGAGCAGGAAGTGAAGTCGGTGTTAAATAAAATTAGCAAAGAAAAATGTTCTAATATAAACAGTAAGACTACAGTAGGTACATTTATTACTGAAGTGGAACATAAGAGATGTATTAATCTTCTAAAGCTCAATAAAACTCACCAAGCCACCTTGTCTCTGTTAAACGAGTTAACAAGATGCTATTTTGGGGGTGAGTAATGACAAGCAGTGGACCTCATCTGCTCAGCTTTCTGAATGAAGCCCTGCTTGTTAGCAAACCAAACAGGCTACTGCATCGTACTGTAATCAGAATAAATGTAGCGTGTTTTTTTTTAAAGGGGAAGCCCGATCCAGCTCAGCGCACTGCTTCCAAAACCAAAAAAGGCATTTGATCCCTAATGACAGCTTCAGTTTAACAAAGAGTAAACACACACACAAATACCCACTTAACTCCACCATCTGCTTCTGAAAGCCTCATTTTGCATGAAAAGAGAGGATGTCACAGAGTAAGCATGAGACTTGATGGAGCTCAACAAACGCGCACGTTTGTGTACAAGCGGGCACTTTGACGCACCAAAACAAAGTTAGTGTATCTGGCGTTTGCATGATAACAATTAAACACATGTTAGGCAACTGTGTTGATGTTCTACAGACCACTCGCAAGGCTGAATGGATCTGAAGGCCTGCAGAGACTGATCCATCCCAGCAAAATCCCAGAAACGCACATCGTAATCATATCCACCTGTCACCAGCCGGGCTCCAGAAGGGTCCAAAGCAAGAGCTGATACCTGCGGAGACAAAAAGCTGTTTTTTACAGTCAATTTCCTGAACTTTTAGAAGTCAGAGATCAACTAATTCTAAATGGCTGCTTCTTATCAAGTCTCCACTAAAGGAGAAAAAATGAAGGTAAATAACAGTAAAAACTACAAATATTTTGTTTTAAAGGGTTTATGATACTTCAATGAGTCAAGAGAATTCTCAATTCAATAAAAAATAAAAAGATAAAAATTTAAGAAATCCTTTTCAAGAGTCTATACCAAAAGACTGACTTTAATCAAAAGCCTTACGGTTTTGGTACCATGCTGCAGAATGATCTCATGAGTGTCTGGAATCTTTTTCACAGGGTTCTGGGTCAAAATTTGAGAGAAAAGAGAAGCAATAAAAAAAGGATGAGCAGTTTGCTTTGTTCCAGTGTACTATTTCATTTAATTCCATATCATTTAATTAGCCTTTTTTAAGCAAAAACATTTATGCAAAGATTTCCTGAAAAGAATCACATTTCAAAGGTTAGGATCTAAGACTGCAAGCCGAGGGTTTGATCTAACATCCTAACCTTTGGATATTTACAAGACACTTTGTAAATACAGCACTAATAGATGCTGATATGTAGCAGGTGTCATTGGAATTTTGCAAAGATAAACAAAAACAAAACCAGTTCAACACACGAACAAGTCCATAGGTTTGCTTGTGCTGCCACCTTGTGGTGAAACTTTAAAACATCTAAGCAAAGAGGCTACTGATGCATTTTTCCCCCCTCAAGACCACTTTCATTCAAGAATCTGTAAAATGGTAAAGTTAAAAAACTGTTTGTGTGCACCTTACTTATGCCTCACATTGAAAATGTTGTCTCACATCTATGGCTTTTTATTTATTTATTATCTTTTATTTAACCAGGTAAGTCCCATTGAAATCACAGATCTCTTTTGCAAAATGATGTACATGATATTGGTCTGTGGGGGAAACAGGAGCACCTGGAAAAAGCCCATGCAAGCACGAGCATGCAAACTCCGCAAAGGACCCCAGGTCCAAACTGGGCATCGAACCCAGTACTTGTTTCTATGTTATAATTGGCACAGATTTTCCTACAGATTCAAAACTTTTGAGCAAAAGGAGAGTTTACATTCACATCCCTAACATTAACATAAAAACTAAAGAGCATTTAGAAACATGCTGCAATTCACAGATAAGCCCTACTATTATTGACATTTCAAACATACATCATCATCGTCGTCATCTTGTGCCTCTTCATCATCATCATCTTCTTCTTCATCCTCATCACTCTGTGCTGTGTTGCTCCTGTAACCTGGTGGAAGTGGAGGTCCCACAAGTTCATCATCATCCTCCTGGGCAGCTTGTTGGGGAGGCACTGGGGGCCCAATGAGCTCAGAGTCTGATTCACTGCTACTTTCATTTTTCTGTACCCTTAAAAACACAAAAAGGATATTATATATATATATAGACAAAAAAAATTTAATGGCAAATTCATTCAGGCTGTTTTAAGAGTTAATGCACTGAAGTGGAGGATGTGAAACTCACTAATCACAACCTACCTAGAAGAAGCAGCTGCACTTTTGTCTTTCTGACTCTGAGCTGATGGTTTGACTTGCATGGAGCTCTCTCCTTCCTCTTCCATTTGAACCTCCTTCTGCCGCTCCTCTGATCAACAAAGTATTACAACAAAGACACTTTTTTCACAAAACGACAAACCATGTCCAAACACTGCATGCACATGCCCTACCATACTGATACTTACCATGTTAGAAAACAATAGATGTGTCTATGAAAATTCATATCATTACAAATTATCTTATAACAAACTTACCTAACACTCGCTGACTCCTCTCGATAGCTGTTCGTCGAGTTTGCTCAAAAATTGCATTAAAGTCAAAAGTTCGAGCTTTTTTGCCTAGAAAATACAAGTGAAACCTGATTAATGTGCCATTGTTAAAAGTGACTGAGTGCTCTGTGGAAAAAACAGCAACAATCTGAGTATTTGTATCTACACTTACCAAATCCAGAAAATCCCATGACAGATCCAACATCTCCATCACCACTCATTTCACCTGCTGATATTAGTGGGMTTTTTTTTTTTTTTTTTTTTTTTTGTGGCATTGAAACATCATGAAATTGTCAATTTATTAAGAGAATTGCAAAGCCAACCTACTTTAATACATTTATACTTACAAACAACAAAGTTAATTTATTTTAGATTTTGGTAATTTCAACAAAATGACATAATACGATGTTTACTAATAGTAATTGTGCAGTAATATGATAACAAATTGTTATAATGCTATTACATTGCACAAAGATCTGCTTTGAAGGACTTACTACCAGTGTATTTCTAGCATACACACAATTTAAGCTAGCACCCTTTATTGTTTTAAGCAGAAATTATCATGTTGGGAGACGAAGACAGCGCACTAGTATCAGTAGTAAACAAACTATATTATGAAAATTAAACAAATGGGGTTGAAAATTGATAAAACATGTAAAAAAGCTAATGTTTTAAGCTAGCACAAAAGCAGCAATAGCTAAAGAATAATTTAATTAATCGAACATTAGTTAATAAATGTCGAAAGCTATGAAACTTAAGCGCGTATAAGTATGTTGCATTAGAGCAAGGAAATCCAGTGATAAATACACGTACTGACTGCAAAAACATCTTACCATCAACTTTTTTAGCATCCATGTTTCCAAACACGACCTCAGATCTCCGGAAGTAGTTCTTCTTCTTCTTCGTTTATTTATTGGCGGATTGCAAACAGCTTAAAGGTGTATGCCGCCACCTACTGTACAAGAGTACGTAATTCTATAACCTCCGCTAATTAAATTCTACTGTATTTTTCAATTTTGTATTATGTAGATATTTAAATAACGCTTTTCTAATAACACTTATTTCTTCTTTATCCCCTTCTGTTCCCAATATTCCTTTCAAGCTCCATTCTTGCTCTGCCTCTTCTACCTTTTCCTTTAGCTTCGCCCTTTGAGCAGAATACACATTTCATCAGAACATGTTCTACATTTTCTTTTTCTCCACCACCCTCACACTTTTCACTTGTCCTTCTTGGTAATTGCCATGCAGCTTGGTGAAAAAAGATCAACTGTTGAAGCAATTATTTAAAAAATGGAAGAAGCTGAACATGACTGCCAATCTCCATCGGACTGGGGCTCCATGCAAGATCTCACTGACCCTAAGAAAAGTGAGGAATCAGCCCAGAACTACACGTGATGGGAGGAATGACCAGAAGAGAGCTGGCACAACTGTTTTCAAGGTTATTGTGGGTCATGTCATACACTAAGACATCATGGTTTAAAATCATGCATAGCAAGGAAGGCTCCCCTGCTTAAATCAGCATACGGTCCAGGCCTATCTTAAGATTGCCCATGACCATTTGGATGATCCAGAAGCATCATGGGAGAAAGTTATGCGATCAGATGAGACCAAAATAGAACTTTTTGGTCTTAATTCCACGTGCTGTGTTTGGAAGACGAAGAATGATGAGTACCATCCCAAAAACACCATCCCTACTGTGAAGCATGGGGGTGGAAGCATCATGTTTTGGGGCTGTTTTTCTGCACATGGGACAGGACGACTGCACTGTATTATGGAGGATGACAGGGGGCCATGTATTGTCAGATTTTGGAGAACGACCTCTTTCCCTCAGTTGAAGCGTTGAAGCTGGGTCGTGACTGGGTCTTCCAACATGACAATGACCTGAAGCACACAGCCAGGATAAAGGAGTGGCTCCGTAAGAAGCATACCAAGGTTCTGGAGTGGGCTAGCCAGTCTCCAGACCTAAACCCAATGGAAAATCTTTGGAGGGAGCTCCAACTCCCTGTTTCTCAGCGACAGCCCAGAAACCTGGCTGATCTAGAGAAGATCTGTGTGGAGGAATGGGCCAAAATCCCTGCTGCAGTGTGTGCAAACCTGGTGAAAAACTACAGGAAACGTTTGACCTCTATTACAAATAAAGGCTACTGATTTTCACAGGTGTTCAGATCCTTATTTGCAGCAGTAACACATGAATAAATTATTTAAAAATCATACATTGGGATTTCTGGATTTTTTTTTTTTGATTATGTCTCTCATAGTGGACATCTAATCATCTAAGATGAAAATTTCAGACCCCTCCATGATTTCTAAGTGGGATAACTTGCAAAGTTGCAGGGGGTTCAAATACTTATATTTAACTCTACGCGTAAAACCCAAGAGTCTCACAATGTCAATTTTATTTATATAGCACATAAACATGAGTTGACCAAAGTGCGTCACAATTCAGCCAAGTAAATTAATTAAACGAACGAAAGAATATTACAAGTATAAATGAAAACAGATAAGATATTCAATGTACATAACAGCTGATTGTAAACAAAGTATTAAATTGCAATTTCTATCAACACAAGGTTACACTGTAACACTTCCTATGTACAGAGGTATGTAATTTTACTTCCATTCCACACATTCTACATTAGAGTTCATAAGGCACTTTCTCCCCTCTATTTTGCTCAGTCATCCTCTTCAGCCACCATCCTTTCGATGGCAGCCCAATCGACTTTGCTGAGGCTGCTGCCCGCACTCTCAGAGAGATTATCCAGCCAGTCCATCTCTGAAGCACCACCTGTGAGGGGCTCTTCCTGTTCACCTAAAACCTGAGAAACGTACAGGAAAGCAGAGGAGGAAACAACGCTATCAGTCAAAATGTTTTAAAGAAATACTAAAACAATTTGTTTGCAATAGTTGCATTGATTATAAACCCCAACTGAACAACCACAACCCTAACTGAAGCGCCAAATATCCCTTCGGGAGGTAAATTCCGTTTTTTCCATTTACAGAAGTTGGAAACAAAATATAAAGTGAGAAATGTGATTCTTACAAAGTCAAACTCCTCCAGACCCTGCAGCCTGTTTGACTCTGAGCGGTTCACTCTCTCTGTCTTTTCAACTTGTGTTTTCTCTCTTGGGATCCATCTTTCTGAAGCGGCTCCGCGGGAAAAGGTGTTGTTTAATCCCAACTTCTGGTGTCCACCCCGCTGCCCCTCACTCTGACTGGCTGCAGGATGCTGAGTTTGGCTCTTAGTATTGCTGAGCATACCACGCCTTGTTACTCTGGACAGACGATCTCCTGGTAAATAGGTCACTAAAATGAACAAATAAAATTACACAATAAATGCATAAAGTGTGAAAATGTAACATATTGTTCTTTGCTTTGGTAGAAAATACACGTATTTACTGTATTTGGATTGGATTTGAGCGTGTTACCTGGTCGATGGAGTCCCAGTCTTCTGCGGACGTCCTCCAGCTGTCGCCCCTCCATGGACTGAGGGCGAGGGGCTTGTCCTGACTGAGACCCACGTCTTCTCTTATCACTGACAGATACAGCGTGAGGCCTGTACAAGAAGGTTTTACCTGGTTTACCAAACAAGCGTATAATTTTCTTTCTTACCAGTATATAAAGCAGTGGTTCCCGACCTGCCCCCCACCGCCCACCCAGAGAGCAAAGGGGGGCCCCATAACCTTGTCTGCTCAGTTTACTATTTATTTATAAAAAAAATAACCAAAACAAGTCAATTTGAATAATTATAACTGCATAACTCAGTTCTTCTTTTTTCTTTTCCAAATAAAAATTTGTAACTCTTCATTATTTTGATAAATAGGTAGTGGTTGAATGAGTTTTTGAGAGGTGTGGCTTTGAAGTAAAAAAGTTGGGCTTAGTGGAAAATAGGTTGGGAACCACTTACTGTATATACAGTATGTGTACATATTTTGGTTTAAAAAAATTTGGCACTTCTGTTTTATTATTATTATTTTGTTTATGGCTCCAAACACATGAAATTAATTTGTCTTGACAACTGTTACAATTATAAAATCCTTCACTTTCAGGCAACAGCTCCCTAAACTTAGATATTAAATATTTTTCTTACACAGAACTCAAAAAAATCCGGCTGACTTCGTCTCGTCAGTAACTGCAGATTTTGATCCCATGTTATGATCAGTAATTAATAATTGACTGAAACGCGGTTCACAATTAAATTTTAACGAGACAAGATCCTCATTGTTACTGTAGCAGAAGCTAACCTGCGAGCGCTGCTGGGTGGAGGAGCAGAAATCAGCCGTGTGCTGGAGACCACAGGAGGAGCATCAGTCTGTGAAGACCGCTGCACGTTTTCAGGCGAGCCGAGGAAGTCGGCGGCTAAAGAACAAGCCTCACGCGTCCTCTGCTCGTACTGTTTCAGGAGCATGAGCCTGTTCAATAAACGAAACGGTTTGTGAAATGCTTGAGGAGGTTTGTGGAGTACAAATGAATAAGCACCTACTTTTCCTCTTCCTCTCTGTTTCTCCCAGTTGTTGCTCGGTTTCTGTTCTCAGACTGTTGCAGGAAGTGGGTAAGCAGTAATGTTGTTAGAAAATAAGCATAAGAGAAAGCAGTATTTTAGAAGAGAAGGCAGCATTAGCTCACCCCTGTTGGACGGGAAGAGAAAGGTTTGTGCTCTCTTTCTCTGAGGTTTTCTCTGTGCTTCTGATAGGCAGCCAGTCGTTCTCTTTGCTTCCTCCTCATCCAGATTCTCAGCTCCTTCCTCTCGTCTTCAGGAAGCGTGGGTTTCTGCGATGTCCACCGGCTCTGCCTGCTGTGGGCCATGTTATTCATGAGCTCAGAGTTTATTCTAACAGTCAGTCTTCTAGTCTGTAGTTTACCTGCTATGGTGTGCAGTTTGTGAAGCAGACAAACTCCAGTCAGTGGAGGATAAGTAGCCTTCCCGTACCAACTCATCTAAGATATCTGCTGTATCAGATAGCTCAGTTTGGCTCAGATTCTTATCTTCCCATCTGTAATTAAAGGAGAGGGGGGTGTATTATAGAACAAAAGATGTTTTAAATGTTTTAAGACGTGGATTCGTCTTCAACTTACGCATGAGGTATCCTGTAGGTCTCACTGAAGTGATGTTTTACTCCTATAGGAGCAAGATGACAGAGAACGCCTGATTATAACTACATGTGACGACAAAAACATAACAAAACTGTGTTGCATCTATTATCACTTTAAGCTCAAACGTGATCGAAGAATACAAATTTTTCACCAAACTCTAATAAATTAAAATCATCTTATGTTGAGTTAAACTGTGAGTTCACCTGGAGGAGTGTGGAGGTAGGAAGGAACAGCGTGTTGGCTGGAATGAGATGTAAAATCATACAGAGATGGATTTGTCTCAGGACTGATGGAGTCGTTATGAACACGCTCTTCTTCAGGCGTCTCTCTGGCCTTCTGGTCTGAGTCGAATCTTGGTGTCCATGCTGTTACAAATGTTACAAATCTGCTGTTCACAGAGCTGTATGGACGTTCTTTTTTTCTTAAAATGGCATCACTAGTTTTATTCCTTTGGATGTGTCTGTGTTTTCACTGAGATACAAAGATTGCACAAACAGTGAGGATTGTTTTGTGGTCCTACCATTCATCGGGTCAGAGATTCTGACAGTTTTCTTTACTGATGCGTTCATTTTCACGCCAGGTGTCATGTCTGAGGAGAGCTTCTCAATTTTGTTCACCAGCTACACACAAAGACAAATAAAAACAAACAAACATCTTTAAGTTTATCTGTAAACCTAAATGATAGAAACATCCTAGCAGCGCCATTATAAAACCTGCTGATGTACCGTTCTGGAGTGTAAGAAGTCCATCTCAAGATTATCTGCAATGTTTTGCAGAGCAGCTAACTGGGCATCCAGCTCTGACAGGCGAGAGGAGAACTGGACTGCAGGAGGTGGGGAGGGGGTTCCATCGGTGCTCTGGCCCTTTATGGCTCCACAGAGTTCAGAATCAGATGAAGCTACCGTCACATGGTCCTGCCGGACGATTCTCTCCAAAACTCCACTGGGCCCGGCATAACTGAACGACGGAGACGTCACAGGGATATCTGGGATATAGAAAAAAATTGTAACAGAAGCAAATTGAGCTGCAGTAACTCTGAAGTCTTTCATATAAATGTCTAAAACTACCTGTGGAGTTGGTGGGTTTTGTCGTATTCTCTTGAACTGCAACGCAGGGTTGTGGCTCAGAAGGAATAACTTGTATTTCTGAGCTGCGACGTTGCAACAGATCTTCATGCGGGATTAGTTCCTCTAGATCTAAGACACTAATGAACTGATGGCCACCCTGACGCTGAAAGATAACGACAATAAAATAAGAACTTTAAACTATTATGTCAAAATGTATTTAAATGACTGAATGACACAGAAAATGATCAAAACTTTGACTTTATTTCAAACATTTATGAACCATTAATGATGAATTCATTGTAGTGAATAAGATTAGACAGGTTTTGAATTCAAAAGCACATATCTTGCTGCTAACGCTTTAAATGTGATGCAAATAGTGGACCCACCTGCATCTCCTCTGGTTTCTGTGGGGTTTTCTCTGTGTTTTGAATAGAATCTTCACAGAACACATGAAAAGTCCTGGGACTTTGTGCTGGATTAAAATAAATAAATAAATAAAACTCAAATAAGAACAATTTAGAGAATATTCCTTTAAATCACATCTGCGTGGAATAATAACAGAGTGCTATTTTTTCAGATCAGCTTACGTTTTGAGCTGCTTGTTGTCACCGAGGCGTGGACAGAAACAGCTTTATCCACGAGCACAGGCAAAGAGGCTGGAAAACAGAGACAGCATTTAAAACAATCCTGTATTTTCATTTCATTCAAGCAACTTCCCTCAAGTTCATGCTTTTAACTTTAGATTTTCTGACTTAGAATCTAGTAACATTAAAAGCTTTTTATGTTTCTAAAAATACAAGAAACTATGAATGAATATCATAACTGTGTTAAAATATCAGCACTTCTGACTCACCTGAGTCTGTGTTGGTAAAAGCATCATGGCGCTCAGGGGGTCGTTTACTTGTAGAAGCAAAGGCATGGAGTTCAGCTGAAGTGGAAAAGACCCTGCCCAATAATCTCTGACCGGTCAGCAAACAGTCTGAGGGTCCTGGAAGGTCAAGAATAAATAGCTCATTAGAACTTAGAGAAGCTGCTAATCGTTTAACATCTGTATTTTAACAGGCCAGATGAATATAGTGAATATTAGTTGGTCGGTGTGTAATCACCCGTCACGTCTTGTGTAGGAGCGATCCCTTCAGCAAACACAGGTTCTTTACTTGCAGGTGAATCCTCTGCCTAAATATATAACAAACCAAACAAATAAAGGAGAGTTTGACAATGATATTCTGATATTCTTCATAAAAATAGATACGTAACTTTAGAATTAATCTGATCTAATGTACCTTTAGTGTCGGGACGACAGAGTCATTTAGACGGAATGTGACTTCTGTTTTTCTGCTCTTCTCTCTCCTCTTCTGCCTTTAAATAAAATGAAAATAGTCAGTACAATATTCAGTCACTAATACGGAAGGACAGCAGCACAAAACTATTCTGTATTGCCTCTTGCTGGGGGTACAGCTGGTAGGACTAGCTGGCCTTCTACAGTCTTTGGTGGACAGATCAGCTCTGAGCAGCTGCAGCTGAGCGTCTTCAGCATCTCGCCGCCGGATCTCTAAACGACTCAACTCTTCCATGGAGGTTAGACGAAGTGTTTGAGTTGGAGGAACCGCACGGGGCAACATCTGTCATACAGATACATTTGTACAAACAGTTACCTTCACAAGATTTGATTTGACCAAATCTAAACCTCTTAAAGCAACGATAAGTCTGCTTACCATTTTAGGTCCAGAATCAATGCTCAGAAGCTTAATCATTGGCGCGCCAGTCACTGGGACTGAAAAGACAGCAGGTCTGGAGACAAAGGGTAGCGAGAGTTTAGGAAGTGTGATGTTGCTTTGGGGAACGTGCTGCACCTGCAGCAGGCGAAGGCCCGATATCGACGCTGGTGTTAAAGTTGGAAAAGCAGGATGAGGTAAAGCGGCTTGAGCGACGGGCCTCTCTGATGGCCACATCTGGGGCTGAGGGGTCCTGGGAGTTGGATTACGTGGAGGATTATTACTGAGATGTTTCACTGGAGCTGAAAACACATTTCTTTGCTCTCCACCTTTCTTCTTCCAAGTGGCTCGATCCTCCTTGTGTTTATCCTTGGAAGGATAGGACTCAATAGTTTCAGGGTTTGCAGTGCGCAGAGTCTGTGGACCGTGTGGAGCGTCGTCATGAAGCATCATAGAGGGATGTAGTCTGAGTAACTTCAGGCCCAGCACCTGAGGAGAGTCATTCTGTGCTCTGATACTAGCAGGCGCCGACACAGGAGGGTTGTGAACAGCAGAACAGGTGTCAGCAGTGGCCAGGAGCCCCTGTGAAGAGGGAATCTTCTTCCTCTGTTTAATCTCCGGTGACTCTGCTTGGACAGAAAGTGGCTGCATCTCCTGACAATAAATAAATAAAACTTGTAAGTGAAGTTTGAACAAAAAGACAAACTTTCACACAGAACAGAACATGTTATCTTTACCTGATAACTCACACCTGCACCACTGGCATTGCAGAGCAGATTTTGGTTGGACCCTGAGGAGATTTTGGCTGAGCTCTGCACAATAGGCTGATCTGCAAACTCACATGATGAGACCGAGTTAAAGCGGGAGTCCCTGGATCCTGATTTTGGCACAAATTCCTGTGTTAGAGGTGCAGCAGCAATGGTTTGAACAGGTGGGATGTTGGGCTCTGGGATGATTTTGGTAAAGGATGGTGTTGGAATATTAGGTTGTGATGAGCTCAGTCCAGGTGGAGCCACAGGGAAGCTCTGCTGGGCTTGTTGAAGGTTGGAAAAAGTAGCTCCTATAACCTCACTAAGACTCATATAGTTGATGTGCTGCAAAAGAATAACGATCTTCAATCGAGAGTTCAGTTTAAGAGGTTATTTTACACATGTGGACAAACTTGTTGGTACCCCTCGTTTAATGAAAGGAAAACCCACAATTAGAATCTGACAGAAGTAATAATAAATAAAAAATTATATGAAAATGAAGAAATGAAAGTCAGACATTGCTTTTCAATCATGCTTCAACAGAATAAAAAATAATAAAATAAAACTCATGAAACAGGTCTGAGCAGAAATGATGGTGCTCCTGAATAATGTGACCAAAGGGACATGTTAAATCAAGGTGTGTCCACTAATTAGCATCACAGGTGTCTGCAATCTTGTAATCAGTCAGTGGGCCTGTATACAGGGCTGCAGATACTCACTGTGCTGTTTGGTGACATGGTGTGTATCACACTCAACGTGGACCAGAGGAAGAGAAGGAGAGAGTTGTCTCAGGAGATTAGAAAGAAAATTATAGACAAGCATGTTAAAGGTAAAGGTTATAAGACTATATCCAAGCAGCTTGATGTTCCTGTAACTACAGTTGCACAAATTATTCAGAAATTTAAGATCCATGGGACTGTAGTCAACCTCCCTGGATGTGGCTGCAGGAGGAAAACTGATGACAAATCAAAGAGACAGCTAATATGAATGACAAAAGAGCCAAGAAAAACTTCTGAAGAGATTAAAGGTGAACTTCAAGCTCAAAGAAACATCAATGTCAAATCGCACCATCCGTTGTTGTTTGAGCCAAAGTGGACTTAATGGGAGGAGAACCCCAAATCATAAAAAATCCAGACTGGAATTTGAAAAATGAAGCATATGAAGAAAAAGAACACTGTGAAACATGGAGGCTCTGTTATGTTCTGGGGCTGCTTTGCTGCATCTGTGCAGGATATAATGAAATCTCAAGACTATCAAGGGATTCTAGAGAGAAATGTGCTGCCCAGTGTCAGAAAGCTTGGTCTCAGTCGCAGCTCATGGGTCTCTCAACAGGATAATGACCCAAAACAGCTAAAAACACCCAAGAATGGCTGAGAAGAAAACACTGGWCTATTCTGAAGTMGTCTTCTATGAGCCTTGACCTAAATCCTATTGAGCATCTTTGGAAGGAGCTGAAACATGCTGTCTGGAAAAGGCACCCTTCAAACCTGAGACAACTGGAGCAGTTTGCTCATGAGGAGTGGGTTAAAATACCTGCTGAGAGGAGCAGAAGTCTCAGTTACAGGAATCATTTGACTGCAGTGATTGCCTCAAAATGTTGTGCAACAAAATATTAAGTTCAGGGTACCATCATTTCTGTCCAGACCTGTTTTATGAGTTTTTTGTCTTTTTGGAATTCTGTTGAAGCCTGGTTGAAAAGTAAAGTCTGACTTTCATTTGTTCATTTTCAAAGAATTTTTATTTATTATTATTTTTGTCAGATTCAAGTTATTTCTGTGACCATTGTGGGTTTTTCTTTCAATAAACGAGGGGTACCAACAACTTTGTCCTTGTGTTCATTTAGTCTGTTATTACCTGAACCAGTCGGAGTAAGTCTTCACCCAGGCGCTGCCTTATTGGTGAAGTGATTGATGGTTGATTGAAGGAAGCTGATTCTGCAGCAGGTGCACCAACTCTGGAGCTTTGATGCTGGCGGTTTGGAGGATCTACAGCTGGGTTGGGGAGATGCACTCTACTTGAATTAGTAAGTTCTGCACCAAGAGTAGTTTTAGGCTGAGCGGCAGGAGGAGCTTCTGGGAGCTCAGGAGAACATCTGTGGATTAAACAGCAAAACAGAAAACATCAGAACCAAATCAGTTTAAAAAAGACTAGTAAAACCATAAGTATCATTTTATAGCCTGATGAGAAAATATCAGAAAAAGTTTCTATTTTGCCTACAATAAAAGCTTTCCTTTATCATTTTACACTTTCACAAAATTTCTAATTCAAAACTTACTTAGAGGATGAACTTGACATTTCTTTAGCTCTTTCAGAGTAGTCAAGATCTTCAAGTTTGAAACTCTGTTAAGAAAAATCACAACAGCTGTTTCAATTTTTTGTTACAGTCTGAATACATGTGCAGACTAGGACTTTATCTGTTGGCATTAACCATTTCAGGTGAGCAGACATTTCTAGAAGTGTCCTCGTTGGAACCAGAAGACAACGTGGTCAAACTCTCACTGTCGCCCCTTCTATCTACAAGATCAGACACATCTGTTACTTATTTTATGAAACAAAAAACATAACATGAAACTCTCACGATTTAACTTTTTATCATACCTTTTTTTTCAGGTGGAACATTTACAAAAGACTGCTGTTGTGAGCTGGCACATTCCTGCTCAGGATCTAAATTCAGCTGAAGCCGGTTCGATGAGAGAGGCATCCTCTGAAATGCTGCCTCCTCTGAGCCATCCGTATGAGAAGAACTGCAAAAATAAATATATTATTTTATATAAATCTAGTGGAGTATTAAAAAACATTAACTGCCTTGATTAACAACAGTAAACAGCTATTTGTGTTATGGCTCCGCCCACTGGGGCCAGTACTCATTCTGATTAAATTTGGGCAACAAAGGGTCAAAGGTCATTTATGATAAGAGGTCAAACAAACCCGGCATTTTTTTTCTAATTACAGTACAAATAAAATACCTGGTTAAAAAAGGAAACTTTTTTTCACAAACAGTATTTTGTTCTATCAATGCCTTAGTGTTAACTTTTTCATAAAAATATTAACAAAATGTTTCTTATTATGTGCTTTTCAATCTGTCCTATATTATATTAAGGTGTATCTTACTAAACCAAAGAAACAGTTCACAATTTCAATAGCTACAATCTGATTCATTGTCACGATGCCTAGTGTTGTAGTACTTGAGACCGGTCTTGGTCTTAAGACCGGTCTCAAGACCACGTTTTGATGGTCTTGGTCTCGTCTCGGACTCGACAGCATTTGTACTTGGTCTCGTCTCGGTCTCAGACATTGAGGACTCGGAATTTTATTTTAAGACCAGCCAAGACCACAGCTGTGGAAATATCACTAAATAGCCAGATTATTGTCCAATTTATTTAACAATCTTGCTTTCATTAAATTTCAAATGTAGCTACTGATTTAAATCCAAACCTGACTTATTGCTATATACAGTATATATACACTGTATATATATAAGACATATTCATATTTATTTAGCTATAAAACATGGAAGCCAGCATTATTTTTTTTCCACAATTGGTG